AAAAATATTCACTTTGGTGATGGTTGGCCACCGGCTGAGGGGATTGAATACCACAGTGTTACTTCAATTTCTTAATTGATTATTCACTATAATACCAGATATTTGATAAGAATAGTAGCATTATTTTCTGCATAGTATGACACAGAATCTGTAGGAGTAGTTATTTGTCTACAACATCTGATTGCAACTAATTATATGTGAATAACAATAACATCGAAACTGCTATCACTAGGTACTTCAGAGATTATGTAATTCTCCTTTATAGAGCATATTGTTTGCAGATACATTCAGTTTCACCAACGTACTCGACCAGCAATCATTTTTGGACACCATATACAAACTTCAATACTCATATATTCTATTTTATTCCAGAATAGATGATAGAAGTTGGTTTATACCGATTTCGGAACTTTTTTCCACCACTTGACCTCGCAACAACCTTGACCAGACACCCAACGTGACTTTGCGTATTGCCTTGAATAACTGGCTTGACTTTAAAGGCCTTCAGCAATGTCATTGTCAAATTATGACTACGCATATCTTTTCCTTCACATTTCGTATAAAAGAGGGGCCATCCACTCACAAAAGTCAAGTCTGAATGTACTGAATATTTCCCCTAATAATTTTTTCATGTTAGGTGACCTTTAGAGAGTTTGATATTGAATAATTTCGAACGACCTTAACAAGGCGAATTTGGGAATTCTGATTTTGACCTTAAAACAATCTTGAAATCTTGTGACTATGGTTGCTCTGGCATGATTTGATCCTGAATGACCTTCAACTGTGTATTATCGATAAGGTGATTTGTATGGTTTGGTTTGACCTTCAGAAATGCCAATGTCGAGTTGACCTTCAGGGGCTATCAACTCACAAGAGTCAGTATCCAGCGTATTGATCTCGTAAAAAGATCTCGATGTCACAATACCAAAGTTGACTTTGGATTTGACTTCGAACGACTTTCAACTACGTTATCATTGACAATGTGATTTCTAGAGTGCGTTTTCTGTTTGCAAATATGTTTTAATGTGGTGAATGTAGTGAAAGTATCAGCCTTAACAATTCGATGTCGGTCGACGGTGCAACTTCTTCAGCAAAACAGTCCAATCCAGTTCAGGAATTGTGCGGCTACTACAATAAAATGATGGCTGTGGGTCAAAACATTGGATCATAGGACAAATTCTTGTACAGATATCAAATCAGCATTCAAGCTACCAATCAATCCTTCCTAAATGAAGTGAAATAGAAATTTGTGATTTTGATTGATCGAATGGTCCATAGCTTAAAAGATGAGTATGTAGTTGTTTGGGAGGTACATAATTCGAAGAGATATTAGAGGTGAAGTCTTTCACCAGCCAAAATAGAGTTCTTAATCAATCTAACTACCTTGAGGAGGCGGATGCCCTGCCGGCTAAAGTCCGACTTGAGTTTTAAATATTGAAAATACTCAAATCATATTGCACCGATGCCGATGAAGCCATTAATTTCCAACCGCTGAAAGTGTGGTATTTGTGAGAAACCCTTATTAAAAGATAATTACCATTTGATGTGGGGGATATAACAAAAATATGTACTAATAAAAACAAGGTGAATTCCACGGCCGGTATCTGATAGATTGAATAGAGTCTAGAGAGTTTTAAAGATCCGCGAAAATTACTTATGACCTTGGTGTTTTAATCTGTGAAATGCGGCGATAATTGTAAATGAATATTACCAGCAATTGATTAAAGCAGATTTTAAATATTTTTTACACTCCAAATACACTTATCTGCCGAAAGAGATATTGGAGAATATCAATAGGGAAATGGAGGTATCACATCGGAGGATATATGGTGGGAGTAGCAGAGGATGTGGAAGACAGTTGAGCTCATGACATTGTAAATATATGTGTTAGGAATCATACGTTGAAAGGTAAGACCACGTTAGTTCTCAGCTCGCACAAGTTTGGACTTTTGACAGTTGTCGTTCGTAGAGGGAGCGACACCTGGTAAACAGAAAAACAGATTTTTAACAGAATAGATCATGTTAAAAAAAATTCTCATTTGATGCATAAAAATCAAAAATAAGATTGATATTTTAGTTTTCATTGAATCACAATTGTATTACAAACAAGTTTGAACTACAGGTCAGTGCGATATAAATAAGTATCATGAAAAATTAGTGCATATCCTTTGGTATTTACAGGATACTTCATCCTTCGTATTTCGAATCATATTTTGATATCGATAGTGGATTATCTTGAAAAGCCGTTGGATGTTCTTCAGATTACAACGTTCATAGGGATACTTAGTGTTTATTCACAATTCTTCGAACTACTTACATGAGAACATTCATTTCCATTTCCCCAATAATAAAAATACATTACGTCCATTATGACCAGGTTAAAATTTGAACTCTTTTTCAAAACGCTTGAAGTAATTACTAGTCGAACATTGTCGAGCGCGAATCACAGTATTTAAATAACCAAAAGATAGTACAAGAATATATACCTACATATACCAGCAGCTGACCCCACAAACGCTGTTTTGGCACATAAATATTTTCTAGGGAATTTCTAGGGTAGAAAATAATAACGAAATCATTGTAAGTGTGTATCAGAACAATAACACTTGCAAATAATATTAATCTCTTAATGATATAATGTGTACAATATTTTTCGTTAGTCCATATTTAGCTAGCACAAACAAACCGGATGGTCTGCTCACTCGAGAGCATGGAAATGTGGAAATCTTCCAAAGAATTCATTATTCAAATGTCAACTGGAGGGTATCATTGTATTGAGAAAATTATGTAGATTTCAAAAATGTAATAACGTANCATATATATTAACAGTAATAATAACTAACTTACTTATAATCCAATCAGATCCCTTGAGCAAAATTTCTTTGGTTTTATACCAATCACCTCGTTTCATGGATTCTTTGAGTCTCCAATCATGTCTTCCATATAAATTTTGAAAAATCCTGTCTTGATCTGCTAGGGGGCCAAATTTTGTTTTAGTTTGTGGAGGCGGTGTGCCCGGAGGAATGATGAAATTATGAACGTCAGTGCGAAATGTTATTTACTGATGAAGATAGAAGGGTTTTCCGGTAAGAATGATTTTATGAAAGAGGTTTCCAGAATGTAGAAATCTTCTGTTTTCCATATTGGATATGCATACATATACATACACATACACATAAACATTATATACACACATATACTTAGAAGATGAATTCAAATGAAAGTAAATAATCGATTTGTTTTCATAATGAATTTAAATACATCTATTCGTTTCGATCTGACTTCACTCCCTTAAAAAAAGTTGAATTTTGCGAGAATTTCAAGTTTATTATGAATTAAAATTAAATTTACGATGCAGGAAAACTAAAAGTTGTCTCCACAACTTATTATCACCCTCAGATGTTAGAACAGTAAAACCATCAATCATTGCATGTTTTGAACCTATATAGGATCATCATCATCACCTAATTATGGAGAATTTTTTTTTATAATGGAGAAAAGAAAATTATCACATGATACTAATGAGTAATTGGTCACAATGACACGCAAATACTAATAAAAATTGATTTTAAGTAAAATGAAATTGTCTTGTTCTCCTCTATTACAAGTATGTTTAAATTGAAAGAGGTATATTTTTAGGAGAGATTAATTTTTAGGAAAGAACGGTTTTGGTTTTCTACTTCACCATTTTTATACAAAAAATTTGGGAAACAGAGAGATGGTAACTAACTACAAAATAAACTCTTCACAAGTAGTTGAAAATAAGTGTTTTTGGCTGTTTCTGTAGAAGCATTGATCATGGATCTTCTAATGATTTCCTGATGACGCTAACTTGTTAGAAAACCGCGCCTCTGGAGACCGCATTTTGCTATCCGTTCTATTGTTTGGAAAGTGTTTTCAATAGATTCATTTTACTCCAAAGGTTCCAGTACGAACTGTCAAAAAGATTATCAGGTAACATTTGTTATTACAGGTACCTGTTGCAGGTACCTGACCTCATCAGTGTATAAGTACTTGTCTTGACGTATCAGTTATTTGAAAATAATCTACTAAACCGAAACCGATCGTAATAATCAATATTTTCTTCATTCTATATGGACATATTGGATTATTACTTTCAATTCAAAAGTAATGATAAATGTATTGTTNATCAAAGCAATTCTTTTGTGTTTACTACATGAACATTTTTGTCAAGTGCCTATTTGAAGTACCTATTTCGATGTACCTAGAACTTTTTAGCTGCGGTTTGCCGAAGTAACCCGTCCTTCTTCACTGCATCAATGGCCTTTTGCATAGCTTCAGAGTTCCAGGACTGCTGAGCGGTTTTCATTCTATACACCATACTGTTCTTCTTCTGCAAAAAAAGACGGAATTAGAATAACTGAAGTTTGCCGTGATCTTGCTCTTGATATTATAGGGCTACTTAGTTTTGTTTGTGATGAATGCAGTTTCAAAAATCAAGTTTTATGCAACATACATTGCGGGCAAAGTGGCCACGGCTGTGTCTACTTTGCCCTCTATCACGCCATTTTCTAAATACAATATTACACTTACAAACCGTTGTAGTATCTACTGTTGAGACATATAAATTCAAAGCTAGAAACATGTTGTTTTGCACGATTGATGTACAATTTACTTCACCTAGGCCTACAATAAACTAAAGCGAAACATGTGATGTACTTACCTAACATCAATGGGTCGAAAAAGTGGAAAATTTGCGATATGTCGGTGAGCTTACGTCTGAGCGCCACCAAACTACAACACAATAACAACGGCTGCCGGGCGAGTACTTGAAACTATTGCCGCAACGCTGCAGCAATATACAGGGAAGAAAACTTCAAGTGGCAACTTTGCCCGCAGTGGCCACTATGCCCACCCTTCCCCTACTTCTTGTGATACCATTCGAATCACAAAAATCAACATTGACACTAGGAGAAAAAGAAAATGTGTAGGGGTGAACCTGAACACATATATATTAACAGTAATAATAACTAACTTACTTATAATCCAATCAGATCCCTTGAGCAAAATTTCTTTGGTTTTATACCAATCACCTCGTTTCATGGATTCTTTGAGTCTCCAATCATGTCTTCCATATAAATTTTGAAAAATCCTGTCTTGATCTGCTAGGGGGCCAAATTTTGTTTTAGTTTGTGGAGGCGGTGTGCCCGGAGGTGGCGATAGTGTACCAGACGGTGGTTTAGCAGTAGGTGGAGGTGCCGATGAATAAAATTTTTGACAATTCCAAAATGCTGAAATAAATGATCTTAAAATGTTGAACAACATTTACTATATATATTATATTTTTATAAGATTGACATTTTTAAAATATCACATATTTGTACCTGTTCTTGCTTTTCTTGCAAAGGCCCTAGCCATTTCAGTTGTAGAAAACGTAAGAATCATCTGTGGAACAATATTTTTTATAAAAGTTTCCACAGATTTGGAGATAATTAACAATACCTACAAAATGAAAGCACGGTGAAATAGTGAATGACAGCGTTTTAAATTGATTTTGACATTTAAGACCTGACAAAAGCGACAGCATTCTTTATGATTGAAATTGTGAAATTTTGACATCAATCAATGAATGGGGGAAAACTATTTCTCAGGTATGCGGGTATAAAAATATTTCACATCTCTCCAAAATTGAAAATAAACCCTGCAACCCGGAAAAATTCTTGCAGTTTGAGCTGAAAATTTTCGACCTGATTAATCATTTTCTACGAAAAAATTCCAACCCCACCCTCCGTGAACGTAAAAAAAGTTCACATTTCTCCCAAAATTGAAAATAAATGTTGCAGGTCGGCAAAAATTCTTGCAGTTTGGACTTTCCAGATGAGATTCTCGACCTGAGACCCTTCAGAAATGAAAAACATTCACATTCATTTCGTGCAAAACTTCAAAGGCACTGCAAAATTGATAAACTTTGCAGATCGTCTGAAATTCTCACAGGTTCGTCCTCCGAGATATAAATCTCAACCAAACTGATCATTTCCGACAGAACAATTTCCAACCTCCACCCTTCGTGTGTGAAAAAATTTCACATTTCTCACAAAATTGAAAATAAATCTTGCAGGTCGACAGAAATTCTTGCAATTCAAACTTCAAAAAAGTTTAATTTCTCCCAAGTAAGAGAACAGTTCTGAACAATCCACAAATTTTGAAGTGACAATTTTAGAAAATTCCTAACTTTTCGCTGTTTTTTCGACTTGAAAAAGTTGGGAAATTTCGGGCCGTGAAGATAGAAAAAATAATAGTAGAAAAAAATAAGCAGAATATTATTTAAGTGTTGTTTTCCTTCATTTGTTTTGAATATTCCTATACATGGTGGATATGGTGAAAGACCAAGGACCTTAGTCAGAATAATTCCCATTATTATTTTTATGATTACCAAAATTAATTTTTGTTTGTGCATACCCTAAAGGTCATAAGCATTCAGCTAATCTTTGGATAGCTAAGTAAGATTTTATAGTAAGATATTATAGTAGTAATAACTAATCCCTCGGCTTTTTTCGAAAGTTGGGAAATTTTGCTGGTGGGGTTGGGAAAATTTGGATTCCTTCCCCCCTGGTTTTTCTTTTCGCTACGGCCCTGATACGAGTTTCTCTATATAATAGTATCGTCGAGCGTCGGGCGTGATAAATGTTAAAGTTCATACCTGAAAGGTGGAAGTTGGAAAAGTTTTTGTCAAAAATGATTGATCTGGTCTAGATTCTTATCTGGGGAGACCAACCTGCAATTTTTTTGTTGATAATGATTAATCTGGTCGAGATCCACATCTGGGAGACCCGACATGAAAAAATTTCTGCCGACCTGCAAGGATAAGAAATTTGAATTTTTGGTAAACCCGGTGGGTGGATAGTTGGAATGTTTCTTGTCGAAAATGTTTAATTTGGTAGGTACAGATGTAAACTTCATAAGAGTAAAATATATTAACGAAACATGTGCTGCTGGGATACTTTGATAACCTCGTTGAAATATTTTCTTTGAGTTTCTTATGATCCAAATATTTATGTTAAATGAACAAGCAAGATTCAAAAAGATACCAGCATTGTTTGAAGATACTACAACAATACTATCTATAAGTTCGGTTTAGAGATGCTTCAAAAATTATATTATGAGACACCGAAAGAGACGTTCTTAATGAACACAGTTGCATTGACATTTGGTGGATGTTGACGCCAAGACTTGCCAATATGTGAAAATCACACCAAGATGAAATGAATGAATGGTTGTTCGAAAAAAAGGTTTTCCCATAGAATAATGTTCAATAGATGTGTGTGTGCGCGCCAGCACACAAACGTTCGTGCGTGAGTGTGAGCGCGCACACCTGCGTGCGTAAGTGTGTGGACGCGTGCGCGTATAATAGAATAGGTATCTGCACTGATTTATTTATTCACTAATAATGTTGTATCCAAACAGACCAATATACTTAGTCAAATATGCTTAGTAAAAAGACAAAGAGGAAATTAGACGGAAACTTGAGGAGAAACTTTGTTCGTTCTCGTCAACTCAGTAAAATCACTTTAACGTGTTTCATAATGTTTCTGAAATTAACCAGAGAAGTGCAAATACTAGAAAACAATGAGATCGACAGTGATTTCTGATCATTTATCATCGGCAGGGGCAATCTACCTTTTTGATATTAATACGGCCAATTATCAGTTATTCTCGTGCTTTTCATGCCCCTCACTTTCTGACGTGTGCCAGCCAGCTTTGTTGAACCGATAGCGGTGTAGTATTGTGGTTTTTCCATTGGATGTAGACAAGGTTTATCGACATATAGGTACCGAATAAGTTATACAAGCAATGTTCAACAGTTTTTACCTTTTTCTATTGACAAAAGTTCTGAGTCAGATTCGACAACGGAACATTCCGATACCAAAAGCGAGTCATCCCACAATGGTTACCCAGTTGAAAATATACTAGGGGGGATCCGACTAAAGAAAAGTCTTATGGGACTTACATCAAGGCCTGGGCAAAGAAACAAAAAATAACTTGATCGATTAATGGTTCAGTCCAGGTAATTGTACGGCTTCAAATGCCCCTAAGTTGAATTCAGAAATCCAAACATTACTCCCAACAATTGAGTTGAAAAAGAATAATTTCTTGTAGACCTTCAACTCACATTGGGCAAAAGTTAATCATCCTTGGGTGCAACTATAACACGTTTACTGTCTGATGAAAGTGCTGAAGTACTCGAACAAACATTGTCCGACTTATGCCGGTAAACTATTATGCAACGTACAAAACTCAATTAAAAACCACAGAATATTTCTTATAGCTCCACTTTTCAACCAGAAACTTCAGAAAGTCTCAATCACCTGGTGGAATTACTGTTTGAAAAAGATTACAGTGAGAAGTGCGAAGCAATTAAAGCTATGGAGTCTATGGCAAAGGAGCTGAAAGTTCAGCGATCCACTTCAAAACACTTCAAAGGCACTGCCTCATGCAGTCGTTGAAAATCTCACAAAAATCACGGGTAGAAGCACTACTTGAGCAGGCTACAAGCTAGAGGAGTACGAAAACAGAAACTGAGGAGGGAGGTTTTAGACATACAACAATACAGAGATAAATCATGGAAAACCATATCCTGGTCGAATGAAACATTTTTATAATGCTTGGTAAACAATCACAACCAATCATATGTCTTAGATGGGTCGAGGGATATTGAATTATTTTCAACATCCCACCTTTTCAAAGATACGTACTCAAGCTGCCAACAATACTTGAGCCAGCCCTAGATTTTCTTAGGAATAGAAATTTTATATCAGTGGACTATTTAGTAATATAGCTAGGACAGTTCCAGCATAAAATCTCATGAATTTTCTAATGGCTCTTCATTCTGGCGATTTTACGACCTTAAGCTCAGTTCACACAGAATAGAAGGGACAAAGGTACAAGCCTCGTCTCTGCCAGACGTCTATTATGTGTGAACTGGGCCTAAGCCTTCAAAGCCCACTTCAGACCACCCCCACTTTTTCCGTCATACAGTCGACCAATCAGAAGCTACCACGCGTAAGATATATTTTCGAAAATATCTATCAGACCTTGGAAAAAAAATATCAATAAAGAAAAAAATTGTCTCAAACCTAACCAAATGACCTACCTTTTTAGGCTTTACTTTCGATACATCAATGTTGAAAATGAGAGTTACTTCCGAAAATGAGTCAAAAATAAAAATGTATGCGATGAAACTGAGTCAAACTCGAAACTTGAAAATAAGAAAATTTTTCAAGTTCAGAGGACTTTTAGTTTTTGTTTGCTGTGCGGTAAAATATGGGTGGCTCTATACAAAACTATTCGAGCAGAACTATATCAAAATTATTTCAAGCAGAAATCTCACATTAAAGTGTGTTTTTTGAATAAGTAAAGCAAGTCGTCAGAAATTCTTGCAGATTGGGCTTCCCAGATAAGAAATCTACCAGTGGGCAGTATAAATAAATAAATCATGTTATCTAAAAGAATAATTCGTTCAGGTCAGTCTCTACTCACCTACACTGTAGATGAGTTCAAACTGGTCTGAACGAATTGTTGAACTTGTTCTAAGGTATATATTGGTCAAAATGGCAGAACATTTAGGAATCGCATTCAGGAACATTATATGAGCTATGTAAATGAAAAACAAGTTCAACATATTCGAATTATCTTTTAGCATAAAATCATATCTTTAATGGAGATTTCGAAACGACCCCGGAATGCTATTTCAAGAATAGAGAGGGTGTATCCACGGACTACGAAAGTGTGTTGAGAGAGAAGGGGGACATTCGAGCAGTTTTTGTGACGAATTTTTCATTTCTGTTTGCTCTTGAGGCTTGCGACTGATATTTACACCATGGATTTTGTTCAGTTAACATGTTTGCTGATCGATTTTCCACACGAGTAGTTTTATTCAGAAAATTGTCTAAGTAACCTGATTTTGTTAAAAAAAATATGTCATTTCAAAGTTTTGGAATGTGAACCATCGGGGGTAGTCCGTTCCTGACTTTGCAGCACAACAACTGACTCCTACATGAAAGCTCATCAAAGCAATTCATTTGTTTAGTCAATCCCCAAAATTTGGTTGATTTTGAATTTTCACTTCGAAAGTTATCAAAGAAAAATCTTTTTCCTTTTGTAACTTTGAGAGTCCGTAACTTGGTGACGAAGGATTTTAGGAATGAAAGTTATATGAAGTACTGGTGATATTTTGAACCCATCTATACATTCCCGAAAGGAACAGAGGAAGTCCGGGGACATCCAATATGAAGCAACGACAGTACGAATTTAACCTCAGCATTATTATTACTATTATCATGATATTGAACAAGGATTCAATAAACACAAATTTAGATGCTCAAATAATCAATTGGAAATTTACTTCTCCAGCAAGTCCTTTCTGTGGAAGAGCTCATAATAGGGGAGCCCAAGCGGGGATTTCGGGATTTACTAAAGCGCGGCAGATTAATATACAGGGGGATACCTTGTACCCGGTTAAGTACCTCCACCAAATATGAGCTTCATATATAAGGATCAGATGAGTAAAAAAAAATTGATCATCAGAAATTCAAGGATAACGAAAAATATATAATCTGACGATTTCCGCAAGCCGAAATAGTAAAACTTCGTTGATTTAATACAATATACAAGTTTGAAAATGTCCTTATAGGACGAAACTGCGGTAACGTTAGTTACAAATAAAAGTGGTAAAAAACATAAAGTTTCATTTTTCTTTTCTTCATTAATTAATCAATTGATTATAAAAAATTACACTTTTTTTGAGCATTATCCCCATTTTACATCGTGGGCTCCCCTGCTATCAGGAACAGATGGTAAGATCCAATAAAACTACCTTACGCGTCACACTAAAACGTACCGTGATTAGAACTGTGTTTGCTGAAGCTGAACATACAATCGATTGTTGACCTCTTTTCTTCAAATCAAGAAAATTATGAAAGCCTTAGTTATAATCATTTTTTGATTGTATCACGTATTGCCAACCTACCTATCATTGATTCTGCCAACAGAAAATTAAGAAAACATCGTAACAGTTGTCTGAAAGCTTTTTGGAATAGATTGGTTTACGAATACATGCCATCATTAAAAGATCGAAATGGTTTGAACAGAAGACTAATCAAAAAAAAGGTGAACTCATTGTGGTGATGGATAAAAAAACCCCCAAGAAATAATTTGCCCTAGGAGAAAATAGTAGAAGTTCATCCAGGAACTGCTACTATCTGAAGAAAAAAAAGGAGTTTGGAAGTGAAAATAAAGTTCGTTGAAAAGTTACAATAAATATAATTTTCCCCAATTTTTGCATCAGGAGAAAGCTCAACATTGTGATGGCCTTCGACATGATATAACTGACTTGCAAGTAAAACTAAACAGCCATCACCACAAATGGAATTTTCAAGACGAGTTATTGCTCCTGCTTCGTACCAAGAAACTTCAGGAGTAACATATAAAAAAACAATCTTAGAAAATAATTTCTAAGAATTAAAAAAATATTGTTAAAATAAGGTTTTGACAAATTGAGGTTGAAAAAAAATAAAAATTCATTTTAGATGAACACTATAATACTCCAATTTAGAATAAGTCACAACACATTCTTCACAAGATGTATTTCTCCATAAAGTTATACTCCAATTACCCTTAAAACTGTTTCTACACATCAGAATATATTATGTTATATAATATATGTATGTCTATTTACAATTCAACAAAATGGAAAAAATTCAATATAAAGATTTAAAGATTCAATTTAAAACCTGACTATTCAAGCAGAAATAGCTCTTTCTTTTTCAAATTTCGCCATCCTAGCCTCGAGTTCTGGCCTGAAATGCCTTATAAGCCCTTGTACAGGCCAAGCAGCACCATCACCCAAGGCACAAATAGAATGTCCCTCAATTTGTTTACTTATCTCCCACAACATATCAATCTCTCCTGGTTTTGCATTACCATCAACAAACCTATACATCATTTTATTCATCCAGTTGACACCTGAAAACAAAATTGATATACTAAGGTTTATCAACATTAACAAATTTGAAAATACAGATACCTACAGAAAATAAAATTAAGATATCATAAAATATCTTTTGACAGCATGAGACTGAATTTTGAATGCACTGCATAAATAGTAAAAAGAAAAAAAAAGCATTCATGGGTTAATTTTCTATCAGTTCTTTTGAATAGTTTTCTCGTGCTTTTGTTGGGGACCTTTCAATTGTGATTACAGAGAAGATCAAACCAAATATTCATTTCGCATAAAACAAGGCCTGAATTTAGAATTCATTTAATCAATTTAAGTTCAGAAGAGTCCTACTTGAGAAATATGTACAAGGCAACAAGATTATGATAGGTAAGACTGAACAATGAACATTCTTTTCATATGTACCCTGTCTGTTGAAAAATTAGGTGTAAATATTCACCAATTTTTATTCTATCCCCTTCAAAGTAGGTCACCTCGGATATAATACACCTATTCTTTGCATGATTTACATATCTTTATATAGATTCCTTCCTTTCTTTGGAAGATTTCCACAATTTTTGTATCAAAATAAATTAGAAGAAGGCCAAAAAAGTTCTTTTCCAAAAATTATTCGCTCCTGAAGATATACCCCTTTCAATTTAAATTTTGTTCACCTTCTCAACATTATTATTGGTTGTTAATGTCCTAGGGCGTCCAAGGTGAGCGTCGTCATTCACATCTTCCCGACCTTCTGTGAAAAGCTTGTATCACTTGTAAACATTTTTCCGACTCAGAGTACAATCACCGTATGCCACCGTCAACATTTAAGGGGTTTCTGAGCACTCGATTACAATTTTTACAAAAAATTCAATGCAGAAAATCGTCAATCAAGCAGAACACTTCTAACTTTTATGCCTTTCAACAACATACTAACCATGATAAACAGCTGAAATTGTGAACATATATTACAGACGAGGGTACCAAGATTAAAAATAAAAAAATCACTAATTGAATGTACCTAGCCGGCAATACATTCACCTTAATTCATATTACCTTTAGATTTATATTCTGTGTTTATAAATAGTCCTTTCTGACTTGAAATCAGAAATCTACTTTTACTAAGTGAGTCAGTGGATAACTATTTGTTTAATGATCTAAAAAAAAGAACCTACCCTCTCTGCAAGGTGTGCACTGTCCACAAGACTCATGTTTATAGAACATGATTAACCTAGCAATTGCTTTAACTACATCTGTTTGTTTATTCATAACAATTATTGCTGCAGTACCCAAACTTGTTTGAGCAGCAACCAAACCATCGAAATCCATCAAAACGTCTTCACACACTCTGAAAAAGAAAATAGTTCAACCAATTGATTCAATGTAAGATTAAACAGATACCTTTAAAAATCCAGCAATCAACTTACTTTTTTGGAATTAGCGGAGTGGAAGAACCTCCAGGTATGATTGCTAAAAGGTTATCCCATCCACCTGTAACACCTCCTGCATGAAGTTCAATAAGTTCCTTTAATGGAATGCTCATTTCCTCTTCAACAGTACATGGCCTATTAACATGACCAGAAATATTAAAGAGCTTTGTTCCAGAGTTACGGGTCCTTCCGAAAGAGGCAAACCATGCACCACCTCTTCGACAAATTGTCTGAAAAAGAAAACCATACTTAATGATAAAAAATCACAGATCATATACACTTTTATTTCTCTATTCTGAGTTGATACAGCGAAAAAAGTATTGTTAGGTTTCTGTAAAGACAAGCCTAGGATCCTGCAGATATATTTTCCAAGACAATGAAATATTAATGATCATATTTCCAATGTTTTCTCTTGTGAAAATTTGGCTTTTATACAACTACAATCTTTGTTGCTATTATTTATGCTATAGGAGTGGAAACAATAGCTTTTATATATTCACAATGGCTATTATTAATTCAAACTTCACATCCTCAAGTTAAACTCAATCAGGTATACCATTCAGTATGATGGTAGTAAATTGTTAAATCACTTACTACAAGGTTTCAAAAACTTAGCAAGATTAGTTTGAAAAAAAAGACAGCCAGAAATTTACTAGTCCCTATTACAGTTCAAAAAAGTATTTCACCTTTATTTTCAATCATAACTGTATTTATCATATCTTTTTTATTTGTTCTGTTCATGTCGTCACTTTTTTTTTATATTCATATTTTCTTCAAATTTGTCAATAAGATGCAAAAATATGTTTTTTCTGTTAACCAACTATCGCACCCCTACGAACGACAACCCTCAGAAGTAGAAACTTGTCTCACTTTTTCACCTGTGATTCCCAACACGGGTTGGACAATAAAGTACAGCTGCCCAGACATCATATTTTCTTCAAATTTGTCAATGAGATGCAAAAATATGTTTTTTCCGTTAACCAGCTATCGCGCCCCTACGAACGACAACCCTCAAAAGTAGAAACTTGTCTCACCTTTTCACCTGTGATTCCCAACACGGGTTGGACAATAAAGTACAGCTGCCCAGACCGAGTCATGGACGGTGAGAAGCCCCTCGCTCCCGAATTTGCCTCTACATAAACTGCTTTTTATATATCTACAAGAACCCAAATGGCATTTTGAAATCCATTTATTGTTTATCTCTTAATCCGTACTACGTAAAATTGCAAACGTAAGTTTCTATTACTTTTTTCCTACTACTTTCTTTGTCATACATCGACCAAAACTTTACGCAGATATATGTACATTATGAATATTTCAAATAATTACCCAACAATGCTATAAAACTTATTTGACAACGTCATCAAATGGGCACAAAAATACATTCTATTTTAAAATCAGAAATCCAGTTTCCTTGAATTTGAAAATTTGTAATGTTTACATTTACTTCAGACGGCATTGTGAGGGTAACTGCCCTCAAAGAAGTCTTTAGGTATCCTGCATTACCATTTTTAATTGAAGTTGGAAGAGGATAATGGTGTCAATTGTAGAATAAGAGTAAAACAGACTAGCAAGAGCTTTTACATACTCAGAGAATGCATCATCAAAACGAATTCTTTTTGTACAGCACAATGTGGTTGAAATATTAAAATCACCACTTATTCATGCTGTCTTTAAAATAATTTTAGAATTCAATTACTATTTACTTAAATTGAACATACTTACAGGTGATACAGCAACAGTTTCCACATTTGTAACTGTTGTAGGGCATCCAAACACACCAACATCAGCAGGGAATGGGGGTTTCAACCTTGGCTTTCCCTGTTTTCCTTCGAGGGACTCTATAAGAGCGGTTTCTTCGCCACAAATATAGGCTCCTGCACCTCTGTGCATAAAAACATCAAAGTCATATCCAGAACCACAGGCGTTCTTGCCTAAGAAACCTGCCTGATATGCCTGAAAAAAAATCCTCCAACTTGAAAACTTTTTTCGATTTTTATTAATGCCCACTCCAGTCATTAAGTATACCTCCATATAACAATGAAGATCACACAATTTTTTTTACATTCATAGAGTTGATATGAGTTTCAGAATTAAAAAAGGTAACTGCCAACAATAAATACAATCTCTGTTTGTGAGAAACTTTTCAAGGTATATGTAATTAGTAATTTCAATTATTTTTTACCTCGATATATTTTTTATTTAATAAAGACTAACCTCTGCAATAGCAACCTGCATGTTAGATGCTTCATTATAAAACTCGCCTCTGATGTAAATATATGCTGCTTTGGCTCCCATAGCTCTGCCAGCAATGAGACATCCTTCAACTAATTTATGTGGATCATGCCTCATGATTTCTCTGTCTTTGCATGTACCTGGTTCTCCTTCATCAGCATTAACCACTAAATATTTAGGCCTGCCATCACTTGGTTTGTTCATGAAGGACCATTTCATTCCCGAAGGAAAACCTGCTCCCCCTCTTCCTCTCAAACCAGAAACTTTCACCTCGTCTAGGAAGAAAATATAAAAGCTATTACTACACCAGTTTCTAAATGGAATATTTTTAAGTAATAACTTCAGAAAAAAATGTAAGGATAGATGATTCTGTTCATTTTGGTAGCTGGTGCTGGCCATTACTGAATATTTACATTGTAATATATTTAATATGTGTGATTGATGACTTTTCTACTTTATGGTAATTCATGATCACTTAAGTTTCATACTTGATATTGGGATCAAACCCTAAACCGGTCGAAAAATAAAATTTTCCAGTAGACAAAAGTGTTTTTATTCATTTCATTTAAGTAATATATTTACATTATACGTAGAAGTCAATACAATTTGGTTGTTATTGGAGAATATAAAGGTTTATAGAATAGCTTTGTTTGACCTCTATATAATAATTGTTTTGGGACGATCTTGGAACTGAATAAGTTGAAGAAATAATCCAGTACTGGTTGGTTGCAGATGGTCTCAATACCGCGATCACGTCAAAATCAAAAGCTTATGGACTTTATAAGAGATTATGACATTTGATGATGTCACTCACTGTATGCCTTCCATTAATTATGAACTTTAGTATTGCCAATGTTGCAAACATTCAAAATTTTAGCAAGTATAGTGATTTCACGCTATATGGTATTGGCTAAACAATTATAATAGAACTAATTAGACCCTTAAATTGTAAAACCTGAGAATGCCCATCATAAACGTAAAAGAACCGGGTTTATAAATATTATACATATACGAAGCCAGATGAAGAATAAATTCAAAATACTGGAAATATAAGGACATGACCTTCGTATCACAATAATATGGAAACATAATTTTGTCTCTCAGAGAGGGATTATAGAGTATTAAGGCTCACACTCTATGTTACTTTAGTCTTCGTATTTCATTTGAAGTGGTTTGTGTTACGCCATACAATAATTTTAAAACATTTGTTATTACAGACATTTATAGCAAATTTTTAATACTCCATTGTACAGAAGTGGTTCGTTAAAGAAAAATCACGTATCTTGACACGGAAATCATTGTTAAAAATGTATATAGTTCCTTACTTCGACAAGGATGTAACATGGGTGCTGCAGCACATTTAATCAGTAATTTGCCAAAGGTACCTCTTACTTCAGTTAGACGAATTGTTGGAAATCCCATTGAATGAAGAAAAAAGCGAAAAGATTCAGGTGTCACAAAAAAGTTTAGACGACTGGGAAAAAGATTTGATAAGGCAAAAAATCTACACTATGTACGATGAGCAACTAGTCCCTACAACCAAAAGTCTAAAACACCGGCTCGTCAATGACGTAACTCAAGTCAACTTAAGCCTCACTACTCTTTGGCGAGCTCTGTCTGCAAAGGGCTTTAAATATCGCCAAACTAACAAAAGACAAATGATAATGGAATCCACACTTTAATAAACTCGCGTTCTGAATATATAACGTCAATAAGAAAATACCACTCTAAAAATTGCCCAATAATCTACCTCAATGAGACTTGTTTTGACACACATGACACCCCTTTCATAAGATGATCTGATTCCTCTGATAAGTGTAAAATAAAAGCACCATCAAATAAAGGGAAGAGAATCACAATATTACACCCAGGATCAGAAAATGGTGGGAACCCAGGAAAATCTGTTGACATTCAATTCAATTATGCAAGAATTTTTTGATCCAGTAATTCATAAGTGGTAGACCTTTTAGTCTAATGACAGAATTTCATATATGTTTTTTTGACCTCTTAATCTTTTGGGCAGTGTATTGATTGTTATTATTACCATTTTTGCAGACGTAACATAACCCTGCATTACCTTCCAAATGAATGATTAATAACTTACTTATGATCCAATCTGACCCCTTGAGTAAAATTTCTTTTGTTTTATACCAGTCACCTCGTTTCATGGATCCTTTAAGTCTCCAATCATGTCTCCCATACAAGTTTGTGAAAATCCTGTCTTCATCAGCTAAGGGACCAAATTTAGTTTTAGTTTGTGGGGGCGGTGTACCTGGAGGTGCCGCTGAATACCAAACCATTTGGCCATTGCTAATTGCTGGTATTAATGATCCTGAAATGTTCAGCTTAAGTAACTATTTCCAACCAATCAATGTAAATTTTGTTCAGGTGTTTTTTTGATATATAGGAGGTTCATTATATAATATAAAACAGTATAGGGTTTTAGCAAATATTACAAAATCTGATTATTTTAGAAATCCTGTATAACAGAATAGGTACGTACCAGCTTGGTTTTTTGTAATATTTGTTATTCTTGCCAGAGCTCCAGCCATATCGCCTAGAAAAAACTATGGATGTCGTGAAAAAAGACGAAAACCTGTTTTATCTGTCGACTGTCATCCTCATTTTTAGAAATGCCATATGTGAAAGTGACATTGACATTCGACATTCAAATTTATCTTATTCCAGATCTGTCATTCCCGTGGAGAGTTATTTGCTCTCTCTGCTCGATCAGAATACATTGAACAGAGAGAACAAAACACATAGTAATTACTTCTAAGGGGAAATCCGACTTCACAATGATCTTGAAAAATAAAGAGACTCCGTCCGTTTTTTTTTAGTACAGATAATCAAAGATGCATAGAAACCCTGGTATTTAACAGATTCGTTTTTGGTTTGTCAAAATCCTTCGACACGAGATATAAGATTAGACTCAATTTTGTACACACGCTGATAAGTGGAAACACAATCGTTTCCAAATATCCTCTGTGAATGGAATACCGAAGTAGCTGGATCTCTTTATTTTATGAAATATCAAGAGTACCATAGAGTGAGTAGATCCAGTGATTCCTACAAAATATTTTACATAGGGAAGAGTCCAGAGAGGAGACAATGTAAAATTTTTACTGTTTCTGGTTAAAGTCCCATGTGAATTCAAGAAATAAACTGTTTCTGTGATCTCTTATTAAACTTGAATTTAAAATTAATAACGAAATAACCAAAGTGATAGGTTTATAGAAAAATAATACAAATGTAAGCAAAATTATATTCGTTACTGAGGAAATGACAGCTTGACCAGTCCAGTTTTATAAATGGCGGCAAGGAAAAACCCCGAGAGGAAACAGCGTCATCTTGACAAGTTAGTCTTCCTTGATGCAGTTGAAAACCAGAGCCAAAACACAACGCATTTATAATTCAACATTAAACAGTGCTGTTTCGACCGCCGTAGACTTCACCAGTGGTCCTAGGCTGAATCACAAATGAAAGATGCATAGAAACCTTGATATTTAGACCGATTCGATTTTATTTTTTCAAAAACTACGCAAAAAGTGAGATTGCCTGAAGTTTGTGTTCACATGTTGATATTTCTGTTGTTGATATATCCCAAAATGTGAATAATATTGAAAATTGAAGTGCCAACTGACCTTGTCAAGCTGCCTCACTTGAGTTGTACTCAGCACCTCTGTTAATGAATGCTGAAATTTATTGGATTTCTTTATTATTTCTATATCAAGCATGACGTGGGTCGAAAGTTTGTGACAAAATATTTTACATGGAAAAGAGATCCAAGTGATCACACCAGGGATATTCTATACATTTTGCACAAATGCATTGCTGGACTCGACTGTCATTAAAGGACAACCCTGACCAAGTAAGGGCGATGACATCTCCCCCTACGAAGACGAAATCTATGGGATTGACAGAATACTCAATCCTCGCATATAAAGATGAACTAGGCTCTCTAAGGCGGTCAGTTGCAAAGCAGAAATACAGAGGACGAATATCGTGACTTTGCAACTGACCGCCGTGAGGAGCGCCGAGGATTGAGTTCTCTATCGATCCCATAGACGGCGTCTTCGTGAGGAGAGATGTCATCGTCCACACTTTATTGATACACTCATCCTGTCTATTACAAATAATAATTCACGGACAGACTGTTGAACTTTATTCCTACAATTGCCTTATTAAAATACTGTTCACCAAGGCAACATCGAGTACAAACCAGTCAGAACATAAGGACAAGATATAATAATGAATTGGTATTTAAATTCACTGCACACAAATCAACGTGATGGCCTTTCAGAACAATATTCCCTCCAATAAAAGTTTATTGCGGCTCACAATAATTCAAATTCGACTACACTTTCTTAACGAAGTCGTTTAATTTATTTGGTAAATATCTTTCAGGTCAGATGGTCAGAACAACTTCTGCCAAACATCAGCTATGCTGTTTCATCATTTTCACACAGATCATTCCTGTGTGTTTGGTGACATTCTTCGGAAAAAGTAAAAATGTCAGAATCTTGCCACAAGTGTGAAATTCTACTTGCAGTTTCAGTATTCAAAATTTCTTTGACAAACCGCTTGCAATGAAAAAAACATTTTCATTACCTTCCAGGTCAGTGTGGCCAGGAATCTAGACCAGAACAATTTGCTTGCTTCCAGATTCTCTTTGCTATCTGAGTGTCTAATGTGAGATTAAACATCTGTGTTTTGTGGGCTCAACTTGTACTGCAAAAAGCGGATTTCCCTTTTTTGACGGAAGCCGAGACAATATTAACTACAACCTAAATGTTGTTAGTGACATCGAAAACTGCAATTTTGATCAATAAATTCTCAAATATTTGGAATGCTTCATAACTACAAGATATTATCAGTATGGTTTCCGCTAATGAAGATTAACAGATGACCTCCTTTTGAGGAGATTTGGTGTCATTGAAAAAACTTCCCAAGACCTTTTTCAATCAACATTGCCATAATGATTTTTCTGCTGGTCTCCTGAATGTATATCGGTGAAAAACTCATCAAATGATTCTATTCCCGGCTTCTCTTTCGAAAGAATAATGGATTCTGAAGAATTGATGATGATCAGAAAATCATCAAAAATACTTATAAAAGGCAGCTAATGCAAATTTTAATATGTTCTATTTGATCTTCATATATCGAAAAAATGTACTACATGGACTGAAAAGTATCAGGCCTAACATACATATATGACGCCAGTCTTATGGCATTCATCGCTTTTTCAGTTAGTAGGTACTAACCTTGAAAAGGAATCTGTTGAAATTCAATATGTTACTCATGAGTTTGTGAGTTATTGTGCTAATAGTGACATTACTTTTGTTATTTTCAAAACAATGGATCCAAAAAAATTCCGTGTTTTAATTTTACACTGCTTCTTGATGGTAAAAAATACCGTTCAAGCGAAGCAATGGTTCGAAAAGTGTTATAAGAACTCTGCTCCATCAGAAACAGCAACTGAATGTTGGTTTGCTGACTTCAAACGAGGTCGTAGAGGCACCGATGATGCACAACGCAGTGGACCTCCAAATGAGGCCGTAACACCAGATAATTTGACTGAGGAAGCTCTGTTCAAAGTGAGTGCCGCGCGAGCTCACGGTTGACCAAAAACAAGAACATCTTGATGTTTCTGAGCAGTTTTTGACCATATTTAAACGAACAAACCGGAAGTTTTATGTCGATATGTGATAATGGATGAAACATGGATCCATCATAGAGATGGGCCCAAAAGAACCGAACTGGTTTTTCGGAACAGGTATCAGTCAACTGTTCAGTGAACCTGTTCTTTTCAATGAACTGAACTTGTTCAGACGGTGAGTGGCTATTCTAAAGACGCTTGCGCAGGTTGGTGCTGGAACTGGATGACAGAACCGCTCTGTGGCCTGTGCTCTCGACTGAACTGGGCACTGACATTCAGATTTTCAGATTTGCTTTGCTGTCAGACACAGTCGCTGAGTGGAGCGTTAACCAAGCGAGGGCCGGGAACGGGAAAACTATACCTATTCACTTACTACGTTTTGACTTTGGTTGTTGGTGAGAATGGCGAATGGCATATACGTATGAACAGTGACAATCGCTTTGTATTGTCATTAGCACACAAATAACTTCGGATTTGATGGAGTGAAAAAATGAAACAACAATTAGAAGAGCAACATTAGTGTTTGTCCAATATATTTGAGACCAACTATATATTTGAAAATGAAAACAAAACTTAACAAAAACATCACAGTTAAAAATAAATATTATTTTCTAGGCATAAATCTTAGGAACTGAATATCTTTTTATATAAATAAAAACCAGAAATATCTGAAAATCAAAACAAACTGTAAGAAACATAATTATTAGTTGAATTGGCTATTGTAATTCAAGAACAATAATTGTTCAAGTTTTTGTGAGCTCAGCCTGTTGCAACGCTCATTAAGGATGTTGCCAACTTTTGAAAAAAGATTCTCGCAGGGTACTGAGGTGGCTACTGCGCAACATTTCAGTCTGACCAAATTACTCATACTTGGGTATAAATGTTCATTGTCTTTCCATCACTGAAGTGAATCTTTTTTCCTATCGAGGATATTGTCTTCCATGTACCGCTGAACTTCCACGATAGCTCTGGAGGTTGAGGATCTTGAAGTCGTCTTACTGCTGTGTTCAGCTGCAATTTTATCTACTGATCTCCAAATTGAGAGAGTCGGCTTAGTTGCATCTGAGCTCGTGCTTTTAGGCTAGTAAATATGAACACGTTTCTTGTTAGATTCTTCTTCTTTTTTCGTGATCAAGTCTGCTAAAGATGCAATTACATTTTTACGAACACGCTCTTCTGCATCCTGATTTTCGAAGAAATGCGTTTTAAACCGTGGATCCAAGAAAGTACACATTGCCAAAGTATTTCTGTATTCAACGTTGCCTACTCTTTCTATGAGCCCATTTTCCAATTTTTTAATGACAGTTTTTGCGACTGGTGACACGATTGTATCTTTCAAATTCATGGCAAATATCGATAAGACCGCCAGTTATCACAATAACCAATGAAGCAGTCATGTATTGTTGACCACTCACTGCTCTGGTGGTTTCTTCAAATGGTTCCAATATTGTTTTCAATTCTTTCAAAATTTGTCATTCGTCCAAACTCAACTGCGGCACCTCTGTGTCGAGAATAGCAACTGTGGATCGAACTACTTCCTCTAACTCGATAAATCTATCAATCATATAAAATGTGGAGTTCCATCTTGTAACCACATCTTGGATCAAATTCTTTGGTGTCATTCCTTTATCCTCTTTTGAAATGCGATACTACCGTTTTCACTGTATCAATTGTCGATTTTACGTCAACTAGTGCGTTCTGAACAATAAGATTCAGTATATATATGGGCATAACACCCAAAAGACTTCCACCCAAGTTTATCCTTAATAGCACCTTTAACATTTGCAGCATTGTCCGATACGGCCAACAGAATTTTATTGTTAATCCCCCACTCCTTGGTAACATCATTCAAATCTCGCGCCAAATTCTCAATCGTATGAGACTTGTTAAAAACTGCACATTTCAGAAGTATTGACTGACTGCATTTTGAATTTTTCATCAATAAAATGAATAGTTATAGCATTGAAACTATCATTATTCAGTGAGGTCCAACTATCAG